CACCAGTCTATACAGTCTTCGACTGTCGGTCTAGGGTATATGGGGTAGCCTGCTTGACTTGTTCTCGAGATAATAGGAATCAGTGGTTGGAAACTCTTAGCGATATGATTGAAAATTGGTCATAATGGCACAGATGTATTCACTCTTTAAAGTCTTCGAAGTCTTAACGATTTTCATGGACCATGTACTGATCTTCTATGACTCAGGGTTTCAGGGAGATAACTATCAATCAGTGAGTGATAGGTTTCAGCGCTGCTCCACCTACCGAGGTTTGGGCAGCCAGGTAGTATCACTAGCCCTCACAATAGGTGTGACTCATTCACGAACATGCACAAAGTTGCTGAGTGCTTTTCGTTCGTTCATGTATCTTCTCTCGTCTCATTCACGTTGGTCTACCTTGAAATCGTTTTCTTTGCATCCTACTATGAAGTGTGGCAACTTGAACGGATGGAGTTTTGGACTGTTTTCTACCTTGTTTTGTCTATTAATCCGTGATGATCACCATAACACAAATAAAACAATCTTTTTACTCTGAAGCTGACTGACTGACAAAATCAACGTAGGACCTCGCACACAGGCGGATCGGCTCACATTGCCACACTTAACAGTAGTACGCAACGAACAGGTGGATAGAAAAAAGCATTGTCAAAGAAGATAAAGTAGCGTAGGAAGACAAACAGTCTGACTATAAAGGTGTATGCATATTCAAGCATTAGATGTCATTAAATGAATATGCCATTGTAACCGATTTCCAGCCATTTCACCAAGAGTCCTCAACCACTAATTCCTCTCGTCTCACGGTCCCCAACCAGACAGTTAACATCGCCTACGCGACTGAAACCAACAGAAAGAGACTTCATGGACTGGTGTCACGTCTTGATCTGGCCACTGAACCTTTTTCCAACCTAATCCAGCTTCCCCTAGCATGACACGTCGAGGTAAGGGGTGACTTGGCATGCGCAGTAAGTGTCCACCCCTGAAGCACATTAGGAGTACTCAGTTTACGTAACACAGGTTTCATCCACTTTAATCAGTTCGGGGTAAGATGTCATCAACAAACGTAATTTTTTTACACAAGTTAGTCAGTCCGGAAAGATAAAGAGAAAAGCGAACTCATCCTACCACTAATGAAATGGATTTGAACAAACAATCAGAAGCAAGGGGCGTTCACAAGTGATATCCACATCAATCAACGATGTTCATATGCTCTCACTTATCTTTTCTGGTTCATGTCCATACTACTGTAATCATTATTCATAAGTTCTAAACCCAGTCACTGGGATGCATACTAATAAAGGGTGTCCTTAAGGAATATTCCAGCTAGTTTGAGTTCACATCAACGTCCTAAGTGAAAGTCGAGACATTCTTATGCAACATTTTAGGGAGAACTTCCTTACGTAAATATTTCGTCCATTTCTGGTGTTTCATTTATTGACTCAACTTTTCACCTAGGAAATGCCTTTTTGACTTCTCTGGTATGATTGATTACACGATAGTACTGACTGATTGCTCAGGGTTGTTTGGCAAGTCATTGGCTTACGGTCGTTATTCTCTATCTTTGCCAGTTGGTCAACATCATCACTTACTTTGAACTACTTATAACCTATACTCACGTTTCCGTATCATCGTCGATACTACGATGATAGGTAGTTGAATATCTGGGACCGTATCCAACGCTCATATGTAATGGTCTTTAAATAGGACAGAGCAAACTGCTAAACGTTATGTTTGGCCCCTAGAGGTATTTAGATATTTTACTGTTACTATATAAGTAACCAGTAGCATGTTTGGACTTGCATCATATATATATATATATATATATATATATATATATATATATATATATATATATATATATATATATATATATATATATATATGGCTGTAAAACATGACCATTAAAGAGCGGATGTAAGTAAGCTTCTGGTGTTTAGCCACTGTTGCCCTCGTAGCATAGGCCATGTGTCAAGGTGTCACCACGTCATTAACTCAGGAGTTAGGTGTAGTTTTAGAGAAGAGGTTAGCCAGTTGGTGCGGCTGTGAACCTTCATCTACTGGGATGGCTGGGACATGTGTTACCCATGCCTAGTTACCGCTTGCCTCGTCGCGCAATGTTAGATGGAGTAGTTCCAGACTGGGAAAATCCATAATAAAACGTGGCATCAGTGCATATAAAGTCTTTGACTATTAGTCCGAGCCATGTAGGGAAGTGTAGACTTCTCGGTCGGGGTTCACGTAACAACAGAAACCAGTGGTTAAGGACTCTTAGTGGTGGCTGAATCGATGTCAGTGGTGGAGTAGTATTCACACTTTATCTTCACGTTAACCGCTACACTGAATTCAGTATTTTATCGTTCCTCCTTCATTTCTTGCTGCTTTCTACTGCTTTTGGCCGATCCTTTATTCCTTCATCTTACTACTTTAGAACTTGATGTGCTGATATAAGGTGTGACAACTTAAACCGTTATACATTTACACCTGATTCTATTTTAATATTTATGATGTCTTGTGAGACATTACTTGGAATTGATTCCCAAACTGATTACAGTGAATATCACTTTCCCGCCTCCTGTTTAATTAACTTTGTTCACTCATAATTCTTGTTTCGCATTAAGCTACAGTGCCCAAATTATATTTTCATGCATGTTTTCGCAAGTTGATATCTCGGTTTCTAAATTATCATACATCAGGAGCTGTACTGACTAATCTAGAATTTCCAGGTTAAAGTCCTCCAAATGACTTTGACAGTATATAAAGTCGTTTAAACACCAGAGAAAATCCGAAGTTGCATGACACTTCTTTGAATGCAGCATCTAAAAAGTACTTGAGAACTAATCCACAATAATTTAATTTGAGAACAAAGTTTAGGAACTTTGTGTAAGGTATCAAAAAGTTGATCACCGACATATTGACAAATTGACCTTTCTTCCTCTAAGTCCTAAATACTGTTTCGAACATATCTCTCATTTTTTCCCTTTCCTGTTCAATCTTTTAATACTTTCTGTGGGTTGTAATGCTTTGCAACTTAAGTGTGTGCAGTATTCTGCCAGGTCCCACGTTATGTGCAGAATCGGGCAAATCCAGTTCATGACCTTGGTGATTCTGAAATGAGACATGGATAGATTATTTCGGAACCAGAAATCGTTGTTACGAAATAGCCTTAAGCAGTAACTGGAAAGATCTATCAACGTCATTAAGTTAGTTTACCGTGTGAATCCTACTCCGATACAAGCCCAATGCTGTAAGTCAAGGTTCAAGAAACTTGCATCACAGTCAATCTACTTTTCTACTCGTTGTGAGACACAGAAGCAGCTGATGACGCTTAAAAAGTTTACGTCAAAGAAGATTGTATATAACCTTCGAATTATTATATTATTGGTCCCTTGGGTTCCTAGGGGAACATACGGCTTCAGTAGCACGCTTCCATTGCACTCTGCTCTCTCCAGTCTTCAAAACCTGGCTCAACCACTGTCCAGAAGCTTTCATTTCTTCCTCACATGATCTCCTCCATGTCACTCTCAGCTGGGATCCCACAATCGTCGTTTCCCATTTGGATTCCACTAAAGGGACTGGAGCGTGATGTCCCCAAACGGCTTTCTCAATGTGTGCCCAATCCATCTCCACTTTATTCTGCATATTTGTTGGGTGATGGATGGGTTCTTGGTTAGTTCGTTGCCAGGCCAGAGTTCTTTGTTGCTTATTCTTCCTGGCCATCTACCTGATCTTCAGTGTCAGTATCGAGTGAGCGTAGGCGGCAGCTGTTGATCAATGCCTATGGTTTGTTGGAAATGCTTTTCGGGACGCGCCAAGTCTTTCAACCATCACATAGAGACACTGACTTGACTGAAGTTGGTGTTGAAAATCCGGATGTTGTTCACGCTTTATGCTGAGTGGAGTGGGATGCAGTGCAGTAGATCTCCACACTGATTTCAGGTGAATGAAGGCCTATCTCGCTATCTTTCCGATCGTGGCTGGCTTTGACGTCCTCATCTGTGCCTAGGTAAGTGAAAGAGACAACTTCCTTTAGATGTCTCCTGTTGATGGTGATTGGTGCTTCTTCTTCTTGTTGTTGTTGTTGGTTGAATATCTACATCACCTCTGTCTTCTCTACGTTCACCTGAAGGAAGTCCCGTCTTCTCTGCCTCGCCTCTTCTACCAACTTGTTAGTTTTCGCCTGTAGATCTTCAAGTTTGTGCAACAAGACATTAGACATAAATCGTCATGATGTCACCCTTCTTTGGGAGTTTGACAAGGTAACCCCTCTTCCAATCAATCTCCCCAGGTACCTTCCCTTCCTTCCTTGCAAACCTTCTGGAGTAGTGGTGTGAGCGTGTCCGCTGATGTCTCTGCGTCTGTTTTCAATGCTTCTAGTGGGATTCCATCTGGTCCTGCTGCTTTCCCGGATTTCAGCAGCTTTATTGCGTCCAGGACTTCACTTTGGCTTTTGTCGAAGGGCTTATGTTCACTGGTATTTCTATGACTGGGTTGCTGTTGGTATTTCTGGACGAGTTGCACATGGTGGTGGTGGTTGATTCAAGAGTTTTCTGAAGTGGTCAACCCATCGTCGCCTTTGTTTCTCCTCTCAGCTAACTAAGTTTCTTTCACTATTTTTCGTTGGTTTCGTCTGCGTTGATCTCTCCTGCTCCCTGAAAGTAACCTGGTTATTTGATATAGTGTTGTCAGGTCTTTGTCTCTCCTACCAGCGGCCTGTTCTGCTTCACTTGCAAGTGTGTCGTAGAAGTGTCTTTTGTCTTTGCGCGCACAGAGAATTATTATCGTTCCCACTGAGACTCGAACCTTTCATCCATCGCTTCAAACGCCAATGTGTTATCCACTTGGTCACTGCTGCACAACCGAGTGCTTTTCGACCCATGATGGATTCTCTTCGTGTGTTGTCCGCTCCAAGTTTGGCATTCATGTCGCTATGTGGGGTGCAGTTTTGTCTAGCAGTGATTGCGGTTTACTATAGATTTCCTCCCTCTTCTCTTGGTCTGTATCATTTGTTGGCGCGTAGCATTGAATGATTGTGACTTTTCTTCCTTTTGAGTTGAATCTTCCTGTCATGATCCTGGAGGAGACTGGTTCCCACTGCATGGGTGACAGCCTTCGATGCTCTTGGGGACATCATGATAGCCACTCGAAAACTCAGTGTGCTGTGCTCGTGGTTGTCGTGTGGGTGACAATATCGGAGTAGATTATTGATTCTCCAGTTGACAGTTTGGAGAGTCCACTTCCATTGCATCTGCTTTCGCAGATTCCTGGCATTTATATGCCATATCTTCTCATTTGTTTTGCAATCTGGACAGCCTTACTATTTTCAAACATCGTGCGGATATTCCATGTCCCCGTATTTACTTTTGCTTTCATCGAGAGAGAGAGAGAGAGAGAGACATCGGCGAATTGGCTTCCCGAAGGCGTTCACCAACAGGCGTTATTTAATCTCTCCTATTCCAGCGAGGAATAAGTTCGGTTTTATTTTTATAATTACTTTGTGCTTTGAAGTTTCTTTGGCGATTGGATTGGTTTTATGGGGTAGAGTTGCTAGCCGTATGCGCAACCTTCCCTCTTTATCCGGGCTTCGGACCGGCTAGTAAACTAGGCAGGGATATTATATATATATATATATATATATATATATATATATATATATATATATATCCTAGTTTGTTTTGCATAAAACTGAGTTGCTACTTATTCCCTTCCATTTCATTTACCTCAGATGGCAAAGCGATCCTGCGTCAGGGGGATACAGGAGATTGGATTGGAACATTTTTAGGCCATACCGGAGCTGTGTGGTCATGCGTTTTAGATAAACATGCTATAAAGGCAGCTACGGGGGCTGCAGACTTCACTGCGAAAATATGGGATGCAAATTCGGGCACAGAATTGGTTTCATTTACTCAAGATCACATTGTTCGGTGCATTGACTTGAGCAAGACTGACTCCGGTTCAAAGCTTCTTACCGCCAACAACTCGAAAAAGATTTCTGTGTATGATTTGAATTCTCCAGATTCTCGTAAGTTCATCGACTGAATCTATCCACATCTCATCCTTATCCGAGAATTAAACTTGATGATTCATCTGCAAATTTTCGGTCTTATTTATGTAGCCTTATCCGTATTCGCGGCACACGAACAGATAATTCGTCGGGTTCTATGGTGTGGTGAAGATAAATTGACTCTTTCCATATCAGAAGACAAGACTATGCGGTCAGTTTTACTTTTACACGTATATCTTTTTTTTAAGACAATGACTTAGGATTATTACTTTTCATTGGCATCTTATATATTTGTATAGGCTTTTGGTAACTGATTCTGTTTTATTTAGCACTGAAAAGCCTTATTCATGAAAGCGTTGTGGAAAAATATATCTGAATTCGCAGTGTTGATGTAGTGATTAATGTGTTCATAACTCAATTTTATTGATAAGCAGAGTTAGAATACCGAATTTGAGGTATTTATTTCAAATGAATGAATTACCTAACTTTACTTGTTAACTCGACTGAACATCAGCTGAAAGTCTTCACTAAGAGGAATACTGTATGTTTCGGTGTATTTCTTTTATTACAACTTGTCGCAACCAGTGCAGCCATAAAAGAATTGAAAAATATCTGGATGTTTAGAGCCAAGAGAAGTACTGGTCACTTCAACCCAGTAGAATAAAAAGTGGTATTCATGATTCGATAACCTATGTGATGATCTTGTGGAGTTTGACCCAGTAGACTCTTATTGTGACTAGATGCATCTAAAATAATAGGTTATATCTTTGGTAATGCCTCTTTCAGGTTACACAAACTGTCTGACATCAATAGTAATCGCTTGATTTTTCTGTCGCATAAGTGATGCTTCTGAGAGGTATACTTTCAAGTATTTGTATTTCTGTTACATCGACTGCTTTCAGTTATTGCGTTCAATCCTTGTAGCCACCCATATGCTCTGGTATTATGACCATTCGTGGGATAAGTTCAGTCGACCTCTAAAGGTGTTCTCATACGGCCATGTTTTCATAGCTTCCGTTATAGCTTTGATTTTCGACTGATGAGTCACGAGCTTGGACCCAGCTCCACCTCCCGAGGTTTGGCAACCAGGTAGTATCACTAGTCTACACACAATAGGTGTAGCGCATGGCTAACTGCACGAACGTGCACAAGTTTACTGAGTAGACTTCGATTTTTTTACCGTATCTCTCCCAGGCAAATTCTACCCCCTGCCACCACACAGTTGGAGGTGTTTCCTCACATATAGGATAAAGGTTAGTGTTTACCACCAAATAAGTGAATACTGTAGGTTTATTTAGAAGAGTTGGTAAACCCAGATTTCACGCCGGTAGTGCATATTAACTCCCAAATCCTAAACGGATGAATGTCACACGAACTTACGTTGGTCACCGGTAACTTTGAGAGTTCATCACCTGACGTTGCTCCGCTGCCTTCTGGACCAAACTTCAAGTCGAAGGATCCGGAAGTAATACCCTGATGAAACTGTCTGCTTCGACCCGGGCTCCCGAGCAGTTTCTCAGCTCTTATACAAATAGAAAATACCACCAGCAGCCCAGTCATAGAATTACCAGTGAACATAAGCCCTTCGACAAAAGCCAAAGTGAAGTCCTGGACGCAATAAAGCTGCTGAAATCCGGGAAAGCAGCAGGACCAGATGGAATCCCACTAGAAGCATTGAAACAGACGCAGAGACATCAGCGGACACGCTCACACCACTACTCCAGAAGGTTTGCAAGGAAGGAAGGGAAGGTACCTGGGGAGATTGATTGGAAGAGGGGTTACCTTGTCAAACTTCCAAAGAAGGGTGACATAAACTCAGTCTTTGCAAGAACTGGCCAGGAATCATGCTCTCCCCCTGTTCACTCCAAGCAAAATATTATGCCGCATCAACCTGGAGAGACTAGAAAATTCGCTGGATTCAAAATTACGAGCGGAGCAATCTGGCTGGCTTCAGGAAGTACAAATCATATGCGGATCAAATTGCAATGCTATGCAACGGTAAATTTCAATCAGGTTATTTTGACACTTCTGACTATGTGTGAGTCAGTTAGTCCACGGCTTGACCAGTACCAAGGATTTAAAGTGACTTAATTGTCTTCTACTTATTAATTATTGTATTACCGAAATAAAGTTAACATGCAAAAGTATGCGACGTGACTACTTAAAATTAATTTTGCTTATCAAACTTCATGTTCCGTTATTCTTACAGTTTGTGGGATATGCGAGATGTGAATTCGAAATCTGTAGCCACTCATCACATGTGGTCCACGGAATTGTCGAACCCAATAAATGATGTGCAATTCCATATCCCCTATAGCGAAAGCCAAGTCAATGCTGTAGTTGCATATGGAAACTCAGTTCAGACGTACACGTTTGATTGGCGTTATCCAAACTTGACGGAAGCTCCAGAACCTAACGTAACATTCACTTTGTCTTGTCCAATCAATTCTGTCAGTCACCATCCAACCGAAAAACTACTTGTTTGTGGTGGAGGAGATCATATAATATATCGACTGAACGCAGAGACTGGTGAAGTTTTAGGTAGAAATTTTGTAAAGTATATGATAATGCTAATTTTTTTGAAAAGTACAACTAATATAAATAACAAATTTTAGAAGTGTATGTTTATATAAAAATAGTTAGAACCGTTCAGTTGAAGAGTTGATGAACAAATTCAGTTCTCACTGAGATTAATGTATTCTGACATACAGTTTCTCCCATGAAGTAGCTAGTTGATATTTTATATCACAATAACCTGACGGGGCATGCTAGCCAGAAAGATTGTTTTTTTCGTGAAATCCAACCTCTAAAAGAAGGCTGATTGCACAGTGGTAAGAATGAATCTAGCTGCTTTCTTAGTGCAAATGACTAATCTTATTTAGGTCTGAGGATGAACTTGTACTAGAGAAAGCGATATGATGACTTCACAGGGAATGATCTACTCGCTGGAGGTCATCTGGTTGACTTTGAGTATGCAGATGATATTGTTCTGCTTGGTGAAGACGTTGACGAGATGCCGGATCTTCTAAACGAACTGAGGAGAAAATTGAGTATGTTTGGCATGCGTTTCGAACTTGTCAAGTGTGAAATGATGCTTCATGACTGGAGTGCAACCACTCGCAGTCTGATGATAAGGAGTGAAGTAGTGGGATATGTGGACCACTTCACTTACTTGCGGAGTTGCACCAGCTCTAAATGGCTGGTTGCTGACGAAACCTCAACTCGGATACACAAGACCCTCTTGGTACTTGCCGATTTGCGTCATCTATGGTGTTGGCGGGTGAGATATGCGACTACCTGTCAAATGACGAGTATAGTGCACTGCATTTCGTTCTGACCTGTTATGTGGCTGTGAGACATACCTTTTGAAAGTAGAAATATGTGAAGCGGTCACAGGGTTTTGATCATAGGTGTCTTCGCAGCATTTCTGGTGTTTGATGGAATCACCGTGCGAGCAATGTTGATGTCAGACGAAGGGTTCCAGGGGTGGAAGGCAAGTCGATTGAGGAGGTTGTGAACTTTGAGCGACTCAGATGGTTTGGACATGTGCTGAGGCACCAACTACCTAGACGTGTCGTGCTAGGGGGAGCAGGATTTGGTTGGAAGAGGGTTCAGAGTGAAGAGACCAAGATGTGGCACCCGTCGATGAAGTCTCTTACTGCTGATCTGATCCGTGTTGGGAAATGTTGACCAGCTGAGTGGCTGGCTGGAGTCCACGAGACGAAAGGAATCAGTGGTTGAGGACTCATTGTGAAATGGCTGAGAATTGGTCGCAATGGCGCAGTTGTATTCACTTCCTGACGTCTTCTAAAGCTTGAATATTTGTACTAACCGTTATCTTCAAATTGTTGATTCTCCCACACTGCTCTGTCTGCATTGATATCACTCCTTTTCTATCTACGTGTGCTTTGTATTCTACTGTGAAGTGTGGTAACTTGAACCGATGCACCTGTGTGAAAGGTTCTGCGTTGATTTTCTCAGTCAGAGTCGGTTTATGTTCATCTAGTATGATTGGTTTATCGTGATGAGATAAGGACCCAATCTTGACGTCTCCTTGGAAACGAATATGAGGATGCATAGCTAGCCTAATGAATGGGTTCACTTTCATTATGAAGAGTAGGTGGTCGCCATGGGGCAACCTCAGAAATCTAATGCAGGAAACATATACGTGATTGAATTCCATCGCGTTCCACTGTGTTTATTTAATTGACCCCACCTGGCTAATATAATGAAGCGGTATAACTTTCACTACTGATACATATATAAAGATATGGAGCCAACTGTCTTATTAAACTGTAGTCGACGGTCGTTTGTCTTCTGTCTAGGTAATATTATCTGTGGAATCTAAGAATGATGGTCACAGATATCGATGGATATTTATGGTCTTCGACAAACGGTCCATTTTGTCCCGAAATAAATGTATGAGCAGATTACTTTGAAGCCCAAGTAGGGAAACTAAAGCAGCAGCAACTATTGTGATTTCCTCTTACAACTTTTTTTTAATGGTAATCAACTGTTCCTGACTAGCACAAACTTTATAGATAAGAGACGTTGTATCAGTTGATGACCACTGCTAAAATACCAACATCAGACACAAAGCATGTTGCTGTTCACCACCTTTGGTGAGGAGGTTTCGTAGCGGATTTTCTCTGGTCATACTTCGATATAGCCTTCGCCCTGGAAGGAAACAATGGAAAAATAACAACGTATGATTGAAGCCTGCATTCTTCTCCAAATTAATTTATGTAAGGGGACTCCCGACTTGTTAGGAGTGAAAGTAACTTGAATTTTTGCGAGTCTTCATGATGACCATAAGTATTGGTGTGTGACGTTTGCGAAAATGCGATAGACATATCAGAACCAGGTAATTTCACAGAAGTTTTGCAGGTTTGCTAGAAAAACCAGCTTATGACAAGAGATCATGATAAGGATTGCAAGTTACAAAGATGAACCTCTGATGACTTTTCACCGTAGGATACTGGAAAAAAGATCTTGGAAGTTAAGCTGAGCATCAATTGTGTTTCATTCGCTTTTCATCAGGTTTCAGTATGAACGGGATACATATATTCGTCAACAGAATCTCACCAAAGGTAGAAACAAAACATGCAGGTGGCGATCAACGATTACTGGCTGGAATAAATGAAGTACTAATTAATGTGACTGAGGTGGTTTTACGTAATTAGTTTAGATTGTTGATCACTATTTTGCCTAGGGAAATCCAAACCTTTCTCTAACAGACAGCAGAAAGATTGGCTAACGTAACCGTCTTACACCCATTAAGAGCATATTAACAGTAATTTCGAAGAATTGGGGTTTATTTTAAGCATAGATCAAACGTATACCCTTCAATAAGTTCTAGGACGCTAATTTGTATACCAGGACCCGACACTTCATATATTTCCGGATCTGAAGGTGATATTCGACTCTGTCGATCGGATTGTAATATGGTAGTGTCTAAGTGTAAACGGGATGTCGAGAGGGCATGTTGCACTAATCAAGGTCTTGTGCTGCAACTCACCCAGTCATGCCAAGTCGTACAGAAGACTCACTCAGAGCTAGCCGTGTCAGTCATCATTCCTATGGATCTTTGTAATTAGGATACTAATATATGTTACTCAGTTTGCCTCCAACTTCTCAAGGATGGATTTACCGCCTGGATAGCATTTGGTCGACTTGGAGTCCACCGATGACGCACTCGTGATGTGCATAAATGTCAACAAAGTACAGAGTCTTAGTAAAAACGTCTGAGTATGTTAGGCATACGTTTTACACTTGTCAATTGATGGTTCGGGGTTTACGTTCAACGACTCATCATTTTACGGTGCATATAGAGTAAGTGAGTTGCATAGATTACTTGTTCCATCAATTTGAATGGTCTGGTTAAACGCCTATAAAAGGTATACTTGGCACTTGTAAAGCTGTGCTGGCAGGATACCTGACGGTTAATAAGAAGGGCTCACTCACTTTTTAGTAACTGATTGATGGAGTTGAAAAATCTGAAAAAGGTACAGGTTTCCTACCTTGTGTCTGTTTAACTCGACAATGTTAGGCGTAGAAGGCTAGATAGGGACGGCTAGTCAATTAATGTTCTTAGCCTGTAAGAAGACTTAGTACACAATATTAGCGGTAGCAGATCAGTTAGCAAAAATAACCTATGGTTAATCAAGTTAGGAGGTGACATGAGATTGTGAATTATATGGTTCCCTGTCTGAGTGGTATGGGAAAGTAAGCCAACTGCCCAGGATTCTCGAGATATCAGAAATCAATGGTTTTTTGACCCAAGGGGTTGATTATTGTGTCTTGAAGTTTGTTTGACTAGAAACTACGTATTTGCCTCCTAACTTTTGTCAGTATTACAGAAAGAGTCTTGTATTTATTATTATTTATTCGTTTGCCTTATATGTTTATTTCAAGATAGACTTCAAGATATATTTTGCAAAGTCAGCGGAATCATGATTCCTTAAAATGGTCTGCTACCTTGCACTAGTTAATATATTTGAATTTGGTTTCGGCACTTTGTTTCGCAGCGAAAGCTTTTCCACTTTAGCTCCGAAGAGAAGAGCAAACACGCAGGTTCGCTTGCATAAAATGTGATGAAAGACAAACTTTCATCTTCCCCATTGCCTGTTAATTCCAATGTACAAGCAAATCAATATAGAACCTTACTGGGAGAGGAAATAGCGTTGGTTCACAAACACCAAACCAGCTTTTTATTCGGTCTTCCATAGATAAAATCATCCACCATCCCCTTTAAGATTAACTCAACTTTTCAGATAATCCAATTGGTCAAGACGTCAACCTTTTTCACCCCCTATCCCTAAACCAGAAAGATGATAAATGTTCTTGTGTGTTTGTGGTCGCATTTATAAAAACAAAGTAACGTGTTCATATTGGAAGACTATACCATTTAAAATTATTATCGTCGCTACATTTTTTTCACTTATATTTTCATCTGAAACTTTTGTTCAGTCTGCTTATGGATTAAAGATCGTTTTTCTTACTTGTTTCAGAAACATGCAAGGGACATTTTGGTCCTCTACACTGTGTAAGGTTTTCCCCTGATGGTCTTTTGTTTGCGAGTGGCAGTGAAGATGGTACTGTTCGTTTATGGCAAACTGTTGTTGGAAGTGATTTCGGGTTGTGGAAGTTGACCGTACCAGAGGAAACAAATAGTGTCAATTGCTCAAACTCTGCATCCTCAAAAGAAAAACTGTAATTCAAGTTTACCTCCAGTACCAGCTACCGGTGATACTGATCGAAGTTGATGTACACCTGATTTATCCATTGGATTTTTAAAACCTTGTTAGTATGCCAGATTCTAAGATCCTATTTTTGTGTTTTAGAGTGTCTACACCACTATAAAATACTTTTTAAAAGTCATCAGGTGGATTTTGTACAGTACCGACTCTAGTTAAAAACTTCCATTCCTTTCATTCGTTTTCTCAGTAAAATACATTATTTATATTGTCTCTCATGTTTACTCATTAATTTCTTGGACTACTGTGAATGTTGGCAAGCTATTTGTTTGTCCAGGTCTCCCTTAGTTTCCCAGGTTGATCCTACGTCACTGTTTACATGGTCGTTTTCTAATTATACATAACAGTGAACTCCATAGGTCACGCACTCCTCGCGGAGCTGATATCAAATTCCTGGTTATCTGTCTTTGCTACCTAAATGAAGGCTGCATCGAATGCCTGACCTGGTTTATCATCCGCTTAAACCATACCTCACACTCGAAGCTCTGCTGAATTAACCGCCGCCTCACCTCGGTGGAACGGCGGTACTCAGGTATTTCAACTTTTACTGTCTGTGCGGTTAGCAGGCACTTGTCTAAGTTCAGGAATCCATCAGCGACTGCTACCATGGGCTGTGCCTGACTGGAAAAAGAGACACAATATCCCTCACTGGCGTGTAGGATAACAGCCACTGATGCAATCACCAGGATATCTAGTGACCAGTCTGAAACAGCCTGTGCCTTCACTTTGGGTGATGCTTGGTCAGGGATCTGTGAAATTAAGAAAAAGAAGACGAAGCTTAGGAAATATGTACGATGAGTTGATTTGCCTTTAAGTTCGAACCTATGATAGCCCACGGGGAGGCACAAATTGGAGAGTTTGGTTTTAGATGTACCTGTCAATTGTCTCTCATATAGTGGACCCTCCATACGAATAATGAAAGAATAGGGAACTGTTCTAGATATCTTAATCCCCTCTGTTTGATCTAGTGAACGTAAGATCTCTCTGTTCCCTAGCTCTACTTTGTGTTTGTTCACGTTAACCGTAATTCTCCTAATTGGCTTTGACGTCTATCAAGTATGTAGTAGCATCGTTGGGACTGATTATATTGAGTTTCAAGTATTTGATATTTGGCTCAAGGAGGGTATCACAACCCTTCTTGCTGACGTTCAGCATTAGTTGGTAGACTTTTCTGTCATACCGTGCTACTCTGATACGACAAATTATCGGACATCTCTGTGGGATGTGTCAGTTCTAAATGCCCTTGATTATATTTGCACGAGCATTCGTGCCCGAGAAGTACGTAATTTGGTGCCTAGTAGGTTTCCTCTTCGTTGTATTGCCCTTTTAAATCGAAGAGAAATTTTCAACTTATTAAGCCGTTTATCAGAAGTCTAAGTTCTGTTGGCGTCCCTTACTTCTGTTTCATCTTACTCAGTAGTGCTCCACCTTTCCATTCCGTCCTCACTTGCTCCTTCGTGCGGGCTGCTTGATGATGGGTTTCCGCCCTACCAGTTAGCCTGTTGACGTTTGCATATAGAGCAAGAGTTGTCACTACCTCTTTAACGATATGACATATAGATGCCTGAAGCTTATGTGAGCAGCCTACTTGCGTAACCGGCCATGTTTAGGTATTCAGTGCCCAGGCCACCATCTGTGATAGCTGTATAGAAGCAGACCTTGGATGTGTCCTGCACTAGATGTAGCCACTTCTTCAGATAGTCCCATATTGTTACATGTATCTTTTTTAACTTTGTAACGCTGTCTAGAATGGCCATAAATGCGTTTTCATGCGCCAAAGTAGGGAAGTCTGTAGTGTGTATGCATCCATTGTTGAGAGATATGTCGTTTACTTACCGCAGCATCACCTTCGATTGAAGCATGAAGATTGTAATTTAACCACAGGTACCCGGGGATATCGTCGGGTGTTAGGGGGCTTATTATGCTCACCACCACTGTACAGGTAACGGTTGAGGTCACTGTGGTCTTTCACTTCTTATGCACCTGAACGTCAGGAAGCTGACGTATGAGTATAAATCTGCGTTCTAGCTGCTCCTGGCCAATACCTGCTACCTTGACGTATTGGTTGAACTTGCGTATCAACCCGACGAGCTAGCCTGGCTGGAAGGCTTGTTCCCTCAAGGTCTATTGGACAGTGATTAGACGAAAAGTGGTCATCGTTGTAGTATAGATCACTACACCATGACGGGGGTCTCAGGGCGAAGTCGTACTGCTGCCAGCTAGATGGGGTGTGACAGCAGTAAGGCGTTTCCCTTGAATGACTAGTAGTGCCACGCTGGTGCTCCTCTCCCAAAGGAAAGGGGTGGGGTAGTAAAGGTCGACTCCAAAAATAGCACACTTCTTCCTGCCTTAATGTCTTCCGCTACCAGCGGTATGGGTTTTCTCGATCCAGCTTCGGAACAACCAAACCTCGAAACGACAACCCGCAAAAGGTTGTATGACAGGCCTCAAGCAGATGTCCCGTGGGCTGTTTGGTCATAAATCTTTTCCTCTTTCATATACCTTGAGAACAAATAGCCTTTCATGATGTGGACAGCCGGGAAGAATCAGTTGCTCACACGCTCCCCGTAGTACATAAAACCTATCCTTTTCAACTTTGTCTCCTTTGCCTTCACCTCCTGACATTGATATTGAGCCTCTAGCGCCTTAGCCAACTTCTCTCTCAAAGCTATCGAAACGTCATCCCTAGCCTCTTAGGATGCAGCCATCGATTTCGAATAGGAGCTTTCAACGTTCAAACTCTATGCCCAATCTGACAGCAAGCATCGCTTTCTAAAACTCCTATCTCTAGCCATGGATGTAGGCCACGTCTCTCATACACGTATTATTATTATTTCTCCCTTGAATTCCTAGGGCAACATACGGCTTCAGTAGCACGCTTCCATTGCACTCTGCTCTCTCCAGTCTTCAAAACCTGGCTCAATCACTGTCCAGAAGCTTTCATTTCTTCCTCACATGATCTCCTCCATGTCACTCTCAGCTGGGATCCCACAATCGTCGTTTCCCATTTGGATTCCACTAAAGGGACTGGAGCGTGATGTCCCCAAACGGCTTTCTCAATGTGTGCCCAATCCATCTCCACTTTATTCTGCATATTTGTTGGGTGATGGATGGGTTCTTGGTTAGTTCGTTGCCAGGCCAGAGTTCTTTGTTGCTTATTCTTCCTGGCCATCTACCTGATCTTCAGTGTCAGTATCGAGTGAGCGTAGGCGGCAGCTGTTGATCAATGCCTATGGTTTGTTGGAAATGCTTTTCGGGACGCGCCAAGTCTTTCAACCATCACATAGAGACACTGACTTGACTGAAGTTGGTGTTGAAAATCCGGATGTTGTTCACGCTTTATGCTGAGTGGAGTGGGATGCAGTGCAGTAGATCTCCACACTGATTTCAGGTGAATGAAGGCCTATCTCGCTATCTTTCCGATCGTGGCTGGCTTTGACGTCCTCATCTGTGCCTAGGTAAGTGAAAGAGACAACTTCCTTTAGATGTCTCCTGTTGATGGTGATTGGTGCTTCTTCTTCTTGTTGTTGTTGTTGGTTGAATATCTACATCACCTCTGTCTTCTCTACGTTCACCTGAAGGAAGTCCCGTCTTCTCTGCCTCGCCTCTTCTACCAACTTGTTAGTTTTCGCCTGTAGATCTTCAAGTTTGTGCAACAAGACATTAGACATAAATCGTCATGATGTCACCCTTCTTTGGGAGTTTGACAAGGTAACCCCTCTTCCAATCAATCTCCCCAGGTACCTTCCCTTCCTTCCTTGCAAACCTTCTGGAGTAGTGGTGTGAGCGTGTCCGCTGATGTCTCTGCGTCTGTTTTCAATGCTTCTAGTGGGATTCCATCTGGTCCTGCTGCTTTCCCGGATTTCAGCAGCTTTATTGCGTCCAGGACTTCACTTTGGCTTTTGTCGAAGGGCTTATGTTCACTGGTATTTCTATGACTGGGTTGCTGTTGGTATTTCTGGACGAGTTGCACATGGTGGTGGTGGTTGATTCAAGAGTTTTCTGAAGTGGTCAACCCATCGTCGCCTTTGTTTCTCCTCTCAGCTAACTAAGTTTCTTTCACTATTTTTCGTTGGTTTCGTCTGCGTTGATCTCTCCTGCTCCCTGAAAGTAACCTGGTTATTTGATATAGTGTTGTCAGGTCTTTGTCTCTCCTACCAGCGGCCTGTTCTGCTTCACTTGCAAGTGTGTCGTAGAAGTGTCTTTTGTCTTTGCGCGCACAGAGAATTATTATCGTTCCCACTGAGACTCGAACCTTTCATCCATCGCTTCAAACGCCAATGTGTTATCCACTTGGTCACTGCTGCACAACCGAGTGCTTTTCGACCCATGATGGATTCTCTTCGTGTGTTGTCCGCTCCAAGTTTGGCATTCATGTCGCTATGTGGGGTGCAGTTTTGTCTAGCAGTGATTGCGGTTTACTATAGATTTCCTCCCTCTTCTCTTGGTCTGTATCATTTGTTGGCGCGTAGCATTGAATGATTGTGACTTTTCTTCCTTTTGAGTTGAATCTTCCTGTCATGATCCTGGAGGAGACTGGTTCCCACTGCATGGGTGACAGCCTTCGATGCTCTTGGGGACATCATGATAGCCACTCGAAAACTCAGTGTGCTGTGCTCGTGGTTGTCGTGTGGGTGACAATATCGGAGTAGATTATTGATTCTCCAGTTGACAGTTTGGAGAGTCCACTTCCATTGCATCTGCTTTCGCAGATTCCTGGCATTTATATGCCATATCTTCTCATTTGTTTTGCAATCTGGACAGCCTCACTATTTTCAAACATCGTGCGGATATTCCATGTCCCCGTATTTACTTTTGCTTTCATCGAGAGAGAGAGAGAGAGACATCGGCGAATTGGCTTCCCGAAGGCGTTCACCAACAGGCGTTATTTAATCTCTCCTATTCCAGCGAGGAATAAGTTCGGTTTTATTTTTTATAATTACTTTGTGCTTTGAAGTTTCTTTGGCGATTGGATTGGTTTTATGGGGTAGAGTTGCTAGCCGTATGCGCAACCTTCCCTCTTTATCCGGGCTTCTGACCAGCTGGGAACTAGTGAACTATTTAACAAGGAGAGGTTCTCATAGACGTATAAAGGACAGAAATGTGATCATTAAATTGACGCCACCTGGCCAGTGCTGTGGATGTTAGGTATTCACCTTTAGAGTATCCAGTGACCTAACTGCTAGCTTTCATGAACTTGCTGGTGTAAACAT